ATGAGCGACACGTGTCCGCAGTGGCTCAGAGACCTCGCCAATCGGTGTCTTTCGTTTGACCCTACCGAGCGCCCGACGGCCGAGGACATCATCAAAACGCTCCTGCCACATCGCGACACGACGGCATTTGACCTCTTCGAAGTCGACGGTGAAGCGGACGACGTCGAGGAGCCAAGCGATGCACTCGTTGAAGAAGTGGACGGCGTCGAGGAGCCGAGCGATGCCCCAAGCCCCATCGAGGAGGAGGAGGTAGAGACACCTAGGTCGCGATAGTTTCAACCAATTTTCTGTGGTAGGCTGTGGGCTACGCGACGCGCTTCTTGCGCTACATCGCAGCCTTCGGACGTTCATGATCCAAGATGACCGCTTTCGAGACTCGCAGTCTGGATACGAGGTAGCTGACAGCCGCACCACCGTCGAGTCTATAGTCGAATAGTACAAGCTTTTATAATTCTCTAACACCACATTCATCGTTGCTCAACTCGACTTTCGAACGCGCAGCATGGCAGTACCCGTTGTAGATGGGCAAAGATCGGTGATGACACGTCCGAGTAGCCCATGACGTCCACTACACTGACGTATCATCAACGATCCTGGCTAGTATGTGATGCAATCAAGTGGGATCGTCGTACCAACGAGGTGACCGATCGACTCGGACCCCGTAAGTCCCACACAATCTCGGGGTCAACCGCAGCGTACGTCGCCATCGACTGTTGGCTGTTGCTGTTTGTGAAGCAACGAGATCGTTGTCTTGCGTTTGGAACGAGTCAAGTGTTGCCTGTGTAGGTTATTTGGCTAGTGCTACAATTGTAATACCAGCAGTCGTCTGAGTCGTGACCAGACGTGCCGCAAGGATCGAATCCGTTGACAATATTTGCTGGGCGGTGCAAGCGGAAATAGCGGCGCCAGCTAATCCGGACATTCTTATCCGGACGAAATGTGCTCGACGGCGCTGGACGGCAGCTTGTTGACGAGATTTGAAGTTTTTATAGAGTCGTATGTTTTGTTCAATATACATAGCACATGACGCAGGGAGCCCAAAAACCAAAGAATCGTGCTCGTAGCGTGCCTACAGCCTGTGTTGTGCGCCGTTCAAGTTTGCAAAACTTGATACTGAATCTAATATCAGTGTATCAGTGTACCAATCGACCATCAAATTCCAATTGCAACGAACTCGGGCTGTAGGCACGCTACGAGCACGATTCTTTGGTTTTTGGGCTCCCTGCGTCATGTGCTATGTATATTGAACAAAACATACGACTCTATAAAAACTTCAAATCTCGTCAACAAGCTGCCGTCCAGCGCCGTCGAGCACATTTCGTCCGGATAAGAATGTCCGGATTAGCTGGCGCCGCTATTTCCGCTTGCACCGCCCAGCAAATATTGTCAACGGATTCGATCCTTGCGGCACGTCTGGTCACGACTCAGACGACTGCTGGTATTACAATTGTAGCACTAGCCAAATAACCTACACAGGCAACACTTGACTCGTTCCAAACGCAAGACAACGATCTCGTTGCTTCACAAACAGCAACAGCCAGCAGTCGATGGCGACGTACGCTGCGGTTGACCCCGAGATTGTGTGGGACTCGCGGGGTCCGAGTCGATCGGTCCCTTGTTGGTACTACTTGATTTCATCCCATATTAGTGGAGGCGCCGTCTTTCAACGCGGTGCTTGTCAATCAGAGCGACCGTCCATCTTCGCAGATCTGGTTTCAAGGCGGTGCCAGAGCTGGTGCCAGATTCTAGCGTCGCATCTGCTCTATCCAGGAAGTTCAAGGAAAAGCGCAAGGTCATCCAAGCGCAGGAGCTGCAGATCCTATTCCGCATAAGATCTTTGAGCGCATTGCATCCAAGAAAGCACAACGTTCAAATCGAAGGGCACGGCCAAGATCTCTGCCATGGGCGAGGTGAGCAAATCATCTTCGAATGTTGTCGACCTAGCACAGTTATCAACTTCATAGGCAACTACAATATAATAAAACAAAAAGATATATACAAGTGAGTACGTCGTCGGGCGCGACGCACCATCGCTGCAGCAATGACAAGGAGCAAAACGACAACGCTCGCGATGGCGCCCCAGCGCGCTGCCGACTCGACCGAACGGATCGCTGGGTCTGGTTTTTTGTCGGGGACTGCGCTAGAGCTGGCAACGTCCCTGGCGCTTGGCTTGGTGCTACTGGAGGGGGTCGTGTGGTGCCACTGCCCTCGCCCGTAGACGGTGCAATGACGATGGCTGGGCCGGACGATGGAGTTGGAACCGCACCGGAAATATCATCGTCAACTCGAACGGCATCGGACCCTGGAGAGATCGCGACAGGTCCCATGTTGGCCTCGGGACTCTCAGAAACAAGCGGCACTGACGGCTGGATCTGCAGAGGGGCCACGCTGATGCCAGGCTCGCGGCTTGTCGCCGGTGTCACCGGCCTCTTAGCAGTCGTTGTTGTTACTGGCAGATCTTCAGCCGGCACCCCCGATGGGCTTGCGGACGGCCCCGTGGAGGGCACCAAGGGCGCCGTGAATGGCATGACGGTCAGTCGTGTGGTTGATGATGCGGGTGCGTCCGTACGTGCATCATCTGGTACTGTCGGTAAGCTTGGTGCTACTGGTGTCATCGTGGGCTTGTCAAAATTGTCATTGGTCGTAGTCGGTGTTTGGACGATGCGGTCGCCTTTGGACAACGTCGGAAGCGGGGTTGTTGGTGGCTGTGTGATGACCACGTTGCCGTCTCGGACGATCCATTTGGTCTAGATCAAGGTCATGTATAGTCGTAGTACTCACAAAATAGGTACCTGGCGCCACGCAGAGGACGAATCCTCGGAGCGGCTTGCGCGTGCTTGGTGGTACACAGAAAGCATTCCCGTCAACACTGCCAACGACAAGGGTTGGCAGTGCCAGCAACGTTTCAAACGTCGTCGCACTCACATTGAACGATGTGAGTGCTGCTTCGCCAAACGATCTACGCAAACATAAGAAATGGACGGAGACAACATGTCTCACGGATGAAAACGTACAAGTAGCTCATCGTGGATGGAATGCGAAGATTGGCGACCTCAGTGATTGGGTTGTCGTGGAGGTCCCTATGTCAAGCCATGACTATATACCATTATGAACTTCCCGATCGATCCAGTACACGCGTCGCACACTGCTCCAGTCGACGTTTATAATGCGTCAAATCACATTCTGAGACGCATCCCTACCACACCAATAGCCATGACAGCACGCAATCTAGTTCCGAATACGTACAGCAATTCGAGGGGCTGCGTGTGGATGGTTGGCGGCAGCTCTCGCAAGCCACAGTTCACAAGTCGCCTTAATCGTTGTTGTGGCATCAATACCTCATCCCACACAGCTTTCATGAACGTACAGGCTGCGCAAAGTCGATGGCAGCACCGCACGGACGAGGTCCAAAGTCACATTTTGGTTGAGAATGGCTATATATTGAGTGTAAGACCATAGTCGATATCGTCGTGCTAGGATACATGGCATGCGCTGTCGACAGCGAGAGGTTGCCGACCGACTGAACGTCACCTGCTTCAAACGATCTATCGAGTGGAGCCTTTTTAACAAATTGTTTTGAGAGGCGAAGGCGTACAGTACATCTGAAGCCTGTCGAGAGACGGTAGTTGAGCCACGTGCTCGGCGGGCGCTACCCAGTGCTATCAGAGACACGCTATCAAAGCTGCTCTCCGAACCTTGCACGCGCAGCCATGGATCCGACGTGTTTGGCGCCAAGACGACGTCCAAGTTGGTATACCCGTGTACTTGCTACAGACAAACTCGCATGAGCTTTGGCGATGGACGTAGCCCTTGTAGCACCTTGCAGAGGCGGTCGACGACGCAATAGAGAAAGCCGTCGATGCAGTGGGTAGTCGTGTACGTTGAAGTGTACGCTGCATACGGGCAGCGCATGCTTTGGGCCAGTAGTACGTGGCTTCGGAGCGCCAGCTACGACACAATGTTGTTCATGAGCCACCGAGTAGGAAGAGGTAGAGTCACCGCAAGGAGCAAGAATCGCATCACTTTCGTTCGTGTGAAGGAGGAGAAGGCGACTGCGGCAGTCGAACGAACCAGGTCCGTGCCGCCTGTCTAGAATTCAAGGACGTCTGATACTTCCGAGGGGCTGTCGTCGTAGGACAGCTCCACGAGCAGAGTAGCTGGACAGTACAAGACGGTCACAGCAGCGTCGGTGTTGTGGATCTGCGTTGTAGTGGTTATAGGACAGCAGAGTTATTCGAATGAGCGCCTGGTCTCATGCCACCACTTGATGGTCGAAGTATAATCATAGGTATGTATGAGGCCCCTCCCTCGGACACACTCTGTAGCATTATGGATCGTCAACAAATTCCTCCTTGGATATATGTAGAGTAGTTCCATATACTTGAGTTCTAGTAGGGCGACGGTCTGGGTGACGTGATTCTCGTCGTTGATGATGCAAACTTGGTTCTGCATCCGTGAACACAACATGTCGTTTAGTGGTGTGCCACTTTGGTGCTCGGCCAAGCCTGAATATACGCAAGTCGCCCACCTCCGTGCTTACACGAATTCTTCTTTCTGGATGCTTCGCACACTATTTCTCGCTCTTTGTTGAGGAAATACGCGTGCCTAGAAGGTCTCACTGAAGTTGCTCATGTGGCTTCGGTCCAAACCTGCAGCTCCAAGCTGCCCTTGTACACTGTACTACTTACAGTTGGATCGTCAGCACGGTGGTATACAACATGGGGGGGGGACGCTTGAGCCGAGCGGTATGATTCCTGCTTCCGCCTCCCGAGGTCGCCGGTTCGAACCCGACGCGCCGATATTTCTATCCGGATTTCCCCCCCATCCGGACACGAATGTCACTGAAGACGGTCACCATAATAAGGCCACGCTCGGCAAGTGCCACAA